CAGATTTTTTCCATTAGTTGCCCTGGTGGTAATCTTTGCCTTTAGTCTATCATGTGAAGTTAGGGCTTCAGGAATAAGAGGAGGAGTTCTTGCTCATAAAATGTTTTAAACAATATTTTGGTACACATGTTAAGGTGTTATTTATTTTTTCCAATTATAATACTAGTGTAAATAAAAAAGTTGAAAGGTTAAAGGTTTTTTAGAAGCATTAGATTACAAAGAAATTGAAGGACTAACACTACGATAGCAAGGCATAGTAATTCCGTCTATAAACGGGGGTGGGGCAATAATACATAGGCTGGTTGAAGATTAAAATAAAGTGGTGCCTCATAAGGAGCCTGGCACCAAAATAACTGCAAAATGGCAGTTATTTAATAGTACACATAAAGGACCAGTCCTCAAGAATGTACTTTAAAAATTCTGACATTAGTAAACTAAGAACTCCACACTACCTTTCTGGCTTAGCAGTTGAGTCACTATTGTTGAAATTCTATAGACATTTTTAATTCTCATCATCTCTGAAAAGAAATCCCAATGAATGTTTCAGGAAAAAAAAAAAAAGGAAATGACCCCACCAAAGATTCCTGAAAGTCAAGTGATATTAAAGTCAACTCAAACATACATTCCTCTTTCCTTCTATGCAGGAGTTGACAGATGTATGTTCAAAGTAGAATGTAAGCATGTTTGTGCATATTCTTTATTTAAGTCAAACCTGTTCTTACTACTACAGAAACTGCAACGGGACAGTGAGGAATCATGCAGGTTAACTGACCTCTCCTGTAACTTAAAAGTACTGTGTATGCAGTTACACAAGAAGGATGGATCTCTTGGAGGAAAAATAACACAATATGTAAGGAAGCTATTATCTCAGATTGTTCTTGCCAAGGCTAAAACAGTAGCCACAAATTTTGCCAAGTGTTCCCAGTTAAGGGAGACTACAGTGGTAGCCAGACTTAAAAGTATAACTGTTTTTTTCTCTTCTGAGATTTCAGTTGTAGATGTTTGGAACCTTTATAAAGCTATATGCCTTAAAAAATAATGACAAAATACACAGAACTTTTACCATCTTAACTATTTTAAGTGCTCAGTTCAGGAGCATTAAATACATTCACATTGCTGTGTACTCACCACCACCATCCAGCTACAGAA